CATTTTATCCTCTGGAGCTACGACCTGTCCTGCAGGGAGCGGAAGGAGGGGGGACTGGGTGTAATAGACCTGAAGCATCGGATAGACAGCTTAGCCCTTCAAAAGCTAGGGAAGGCACTGGTGGAGCAGGAACCCATGAGAAACTGGTTGCGGGAAAGAGCGGCAAGCTTCCCGCTCGGCCTGGCCACGATCTACGCCCATCCGTCGATCCTGAAAAATTGGCTGGGAGGTGGCACAAGATGGAAAGCAGCGGTGAAAACACTCTGGGACTCAAAGGTTTTGGTCATGAGCGACCCAGCACACCGGTGGGATGCGGAGGAGGAGCAACTTTTGTTCAACCGGAAAATATTTTTCAGAGGGAAATCGCCTTTCGGGAACCAGATGGGGTCGCTATGTCTGAAGGGTGTCCGGCTGGGAGACTTGGTGTACAAGTGGCATGATGGCAGCAGAACGCTCAAGAGCAACACCGAACTGGAGCAGGAACTGGGAGGCGTGGACCAAAGGAAGTGGGCACTGAAGGCCTGGGAAGCGACACCACAAAGTTGGAAGGATATGGTGCTTCGGCAGTTAACAGCTGAGGAGGTTTTCAGGGAGGCGAACGTGATACGGTCACCGTCATACCGCCCCGGGGAACTCCTTTTTCACCGATTGGAATACGTGGCTGATGGCGAGCTGTACGGAAAGAGAGGCGGTGTGAAAGACGGTAGAGAGGTAAGTGAGGAGGAGGAGGCGAGAGAGAGACAGGGGAGGAGAGGAGATAAGAACAAAGGAGGAGGTGAGTGAGGGATGAGGAGAGGAGGTGGGGGGGTGGCCGCGGCATCCCCTCTTACTAACCCCCTTTTACACAGGGGGGGTTGAGTGGGGGATGAGGAGTGGAGGTGGGGGGGTGGCCGCAACGTCCCCTCTTACTAACCCCCACATCCCCAACCCCAATCAACCAACCCCCTGTAACCTCACCCCCCATTTCAACCGCCCCCTGGAACCGCACTCCCTCCCTCCTTTTCTTCCTCCAGACCCCTCCCCACCCACGATGGTCCCTGTCCAGTTCTTCACAGGTGGGGCTGCTGGTTACAGGTGCCTGGTGCTGGCGGCTGGCGCTGGTGCTGGTGCCTGGTGCTGGCGTCTGGCGCTGGTGCCTGGTGCTGGCGGCTGGCGCTGGTGCTGGTGCCTAGTGCTGGCGGGTGGCGCTGGTGCTGGTGCCTGGTGCTGGCGGCTGGCGCTAGTGCTGGTGCCTGGTGCTGGCGGCTGGCGCTGGCGCTGGTGCCTGGTGCTGGCGGCTGGCGCTGGTGCTGGTGCCTGGTGCCTGGTGCTGGCGGCTGGCGCTGGTGCTGGTGCCTGGTGCTGGCGGCTGGCGCTGGTGCTGGTGCCTGCTGCTGGCGGCTGGCGCTGGTGCTGGTGCCTGGTGCTGGCGGCTGGCGCTGGTGCCTGACGGCTGGTGCTGGTCCTGGTGGCTGGTGCTGGCGTAACGGCGCTGGTGCTGGTGACTGGCTTCGGTGCTGGTGACTGGCTTCGGTGCTGGTGCTGGTTCCTGGTGCTGGTGGCTGGCGCTGGTGCTGGTGCCTGGTGCTGTTCCGCCGCCACTCCCTTCCCCCTTTTCCTCTCTCCCCCACAGCATTCCGCCGCCACTCCCTTCCCCCTTTCCCTCTCCCACCCGCAGCGTTCCGCCGCCAATCCCTTCCCCTCCTCCCTCTCCCACCCACAGCGACCGCCGCTGCACACGTGAACAGTCGCGACGGGGGGGGGGGGGGGGTGACGAGCAGGGGGCCGGGGGAATGCGACGGGCGGAGCGAGGCGAAGGGAAGGAAGAAAACGGGACGGGGGGGAAAGTGCCGCGACGACCGCCACCGTCGCCGTACCCTTCATTCCCAATGCCCCGTCCCCCCCCCTTCCCCACTCTCGCGCAAACTCGGCAGCGGGCATAGGCGCGGGCAGAGGTGGTGAGGGTGGGGAAATGCGACGGGCTGACGACGGGGGAAACGCGACGCGCTGGCGACGGGGGAAACGCGACGCGCTGGCAACGGGGGAAACGCGACGAGCTGGCGACGGGGGGGAAACGCGACGGGCTGGCGACGGGCAGGCGACGAGGGAAAAAACGACGGGCTGGCGACGAGGGAAACGCGGCCGGCTCGCCGCCGCGCCCGTCGCAGCGAGCGCCGTGCCACGAATAGGTGGGCCCATTAACTAAGGTCAGGAACTTAATCGCTCTATACCATATTACAATACTAAGTTAACTAGAGTACGGGTTTAACTAAGGGGCCTAGGCTTAGTAGCCTAGGCCAAGCGGGTGTCGAGCAGTTTGTGCCAGAAAGTGAGAATGTGTGTTGTTCACTATAGCACACAAGGTACATATAGCAAACTAGCAAAGGTGCACCACCACCAACAAGGAAACATAACTACACTAGAGCTAAAGCTACAGGCAGTTATAAACATACATAAATATATATCGCGACACCTGGAGCAGTCGTCGACGACCACCAGAAAGTAACGCTCCCTCCCGGACCCTTGTGTCGGGGCAGGGCCCCAGACGTCCAAGTGGAGAGTCTCGAAGGGAGCGGTGGCCGGACGAAGGGAGGAGGAGTGAGGAGTGGCGCGTAAGCGACCGGCAATGCACGGAGTGCAAGGGGGAGCAAGCGAGGTAGGGAGTGACGGGAAAGTGCATGGGAGACCTGTGACTAGTCCCTGACTGAGCATGCCATGAAGGCGAGGGATCGACGGGTGGCCAAGGCGGTGGTGCCACAGGACGGTGCGGTGGGCGAGAGAGCGACAGGAGCAAGACGCAGCGACTGGACTGGACACGACCACCTGACTAGTCACCTCAACCGGACTGGACACCTAGACGGGAGAGGACGGACCGACCGGAGGGGAGGACGGAACCGGGGAGCGCTCGGTGTGGAGGACATAGAGACCGGAGCGGGGCTCCCTGGTGAACGTGGCCAGAACAGCTCCTGTGGCAGCGTCAGTACAGACCGCAGTCCTCCCACCCCCCACAAAGGTAACCGTGATCCCTCGGTCCTGGAGGTATCCAACACCCACCAAGTTCCGAGTGAACGAGGGGATGTGGAGACCGCGCAGGACCCCAGAGGGGATCAGCTCCTCACACTTAAGACTGCCCGTCGTACCGAAACTTCGACCGCGATACGGTGGACCGTTCCAAATCAGCCACATGATCACCCAAGTTACCGCCCATTTACTGTTGCCGACAGACTTGTACATCAGCCCATCGTTCCACGTCAGCCTGCTTCCCCCTTACATCCCCACCACAAGCCAACTGCCTCGTCACCGCCCGCCATCCATGACTCGCCCTGCATCGGAGGCGACCACTGAGCCCGAAAATATTCTGAGCCATCGGATTCGACACCCCACATGCATCAAGAGGATCGAGTTCCTCGTTTGCTGGAAGGAACACACGCCAACTGAAGACAGCTGGGTGCCCCTGGCCAACATTGAAAACCACCCTGCCCTGCAAGTGTACCTGAGGAGCCGGGTTTTCCGCGATATACACACACTCGCGTAGCGGAGGGGGCTTCTTGAAGGGGGGGGGGGGGGGGGGGGGGGGGGGGGGGGGGGGGGGTAGTGTAAGGATTTTTCTCGACATTCCTTACCGCGACCATCAACATTGCGTACAGCAGCAACCGTTGTTCGCCCGTCCTGCGCGGTCTCCACATCCCCTCGTTCACTCGGAACTTGGTGGGTGTTGGATACCTCCAGGACCGAGGGATCACGGTTACCTTTGTGGGGGGTGGGAGGACTGCGGTCTGTACTGACGCTGCCACAGGAGCTGTTCTGGCCACGTTCACCAGGGAGCCCCGCTCCGGTCTCTATGTCCTCCACACCGAGCGCTCCCCGGTTCCGTCCTCCCCTCCGGTCGGTCCGTCCTCTCCCGTCCAGGTGTCCAGTCCGGTTGAGGTGACTAGTCAGGTGGTCGTGTCCAGTCCAGTCGCTGCGTCTTGCTCCTGTCGCTCTCTCGCCCACCGCACCGTCCTGTGGCACCACCGCCTTGGCCACCCGTCGATCCCTCGCCTTCATGGCATGCTCAGTCAGGGACTAGTCATAGGTCTCCCATGCACTTTCCCGTCACTCCCTACCTCGCTTGCTCCCCCTTGCACTCCGTGCGTCGCCGGTCGCTTACGCGCCACTCCTCACTCCTCCTCCCTTCGTCCGGCCACCGCTCCCTTCGAGACTCTCCACTTGGACGTCTGGGGCCCTGCCCCGACACAAGGGTCCGGGAGGGAGCGTTACTTTCTGGTGGTCGTCGACGACTGCTCCAGGTGTCGCGATATATATTTATGTATGTTTATAACTGCCTGTAGCTTTAGCTCTAGTGTAGTTATGTTTCCTTGTTGGTGGTGGTGCACCTTTGCTAGTTTGCTATATGTACCTTGTGTGCTATAGTGAACAACACACATTCTCACTTTCTGGCACAAACTGCTCGACACCCGCTTGGCCTAGGCTACTAAGCCTAGGCCCCTTAGTTAAACCCGTACTCTAGTTAACTTAGTATTGTAATATGGTATAGAGCGATTAAGTTCCTGACCTTAGTTAATGGGCCCACCTATTCGTGGCACGGCGCTCGCTGCGACGGGCGCGGCGGCGAGCCGGCCGCGTTTCCCTCGTCGCCAGCCCGTCGTTTTTTCCCTCGTCGCCTGCCCGTCGCCAGCCCGTCGCGTTTCCCCCCCGTTGCCAGCTCGTCGCGTTTCCCCCGTTGCCAGCGCGTCGCGTTTCCCCCGTCGCCAGCGCGTCGCGTTTCCCCCGTCGTCAGCCCGTCGCATTTCCCCACCCTCACCACCTCTGCCCGCGCCTATGCCCGCTGCCGAGTTTGCGCGAGAGTGGGGAAGGGGGGGGGACGGGGCATTGGGAATGAAGGGTACGGCGACGGTGGCGGTCGTCGCGGCACTTTCCCCCCCGTCCCGTTTTCTTCCTTCCCTTCGCCTCGCTCCGCCCGTCGCATTCCCCCGGCCCCCTGCTCGTCACCCCCCCCCCCCCCCCCCCGTCGCGACTGTTCACGTGTGCAGCGGCGGTCGCTGTGGGTGGGAGAGGGAGGAGGGGAAGGGATTGGCGGCGGAACGCTGCGGGTGGGAGAGGGAAAGGGGGAAGGGAGTGGCGGCGGAATGCTGTGGGGGAGAGAGGAAAAGGGGGAAGGGAGTGGCGGCGGAACAGCACCAGGCACCAGCACCAGCGCCAGCCACCAGCACCAGGAACCAGCACCAGCACCGAAGCCAGTCACCAGCACCAGCGCCGTTACGCCAGCACCAGCCACCAGGACCAGCACCAGCCGTCAGGCACCAGCGCCAGCCGCCAGCACCAGGCACCAGCACCAGCGCCAGCCGCCAGCAGCAGGCACCAGCACCAGCGCCAGCCGCCAGCACCAGGCACCAGCACCAGCGCCAGCCGCCAGCACCAGGCACCAGGCACCAGCACCAGCGCCAGCCGCCAGCACCAGGCACCAGCGCCAGCGCCAGCCGCCAGCACCAGGCACCAGCACTAGCGCCAGCCGCCAGCACCAGGCACCAGCACCAGCGCCAGCCGCCAGCACCAGGCACCAGCGCCAGACGCCAGCACCAGGCACCAGCACCAGCGCCAGCCGCCAGCACCAGGCACCTGTGACCAGCAGCCCCACCTGTGAAGAACTGGACAGGGACCATCGTGGGTGGGGAGGGGTCTGGAGGAAGAAAAGGAGGGAGGGAGTGCGGTTCCAGGGGGCGGTTGAAATGGGGGGTGAGGTTACAGGGGGTTGGTTGATTGGGGTTGGGGATGTGGGGGTTAGTAAGAGGGGACGTTGCGGCCACCCCCCCACCTCCACTCCTCATCCCCCACTCAACCCCCCCTGTGTAAAAGGGGGTTAGTAAGAGGGGATGCCGCGGCCACCCCCCCACCTCCTCTCCTCATCCCTCACTCACCTCCTCCTTTGTTCTTATCTCCTCTCCTCCCCTGTCTCTCTCTCGCCTCCTCCTCCTCACTTACCTCTCTACCGTCTTTCACAACGCCTGCAATACCCCTTCAGGGGGTGTGACTTACTCTAGCTATGTGCTGCAGGCAGTTAAGGGGGTGTGTCGCGATATATATTTATATATGTTTATAACTGCCTGTAGCTTTAGCTCTAGTGTAGTTATGTTTCCTTGTTGGTGGTGGTGCACCTTTGCTAGTTTGCTATATGTACCTTGTGTGCTATAGTGAACAACACACATTCTCACTTTCTGGCACAAAATGCTCGACACCCGCTTGGCCTAGGCTACTAAGCCTAGGCCCCTTAGTTAAACCCGTACTCTAGTTAACTTAGTATTGTAACACCAGGTACACCACAGTGTTCCCTCTTGCGAAGAAGTCCGAGGTGACTGCTACGCTGATCCGGTGGCTTCTAGCCACTGAGGGCACTCGTGGTCGTCGAGTCAGTTGTCTCCACTCCGACCGTGGGGGCGAGTTTTGCTCCGGCATTCTCGGTGGATTCTGCGGCGAACAGGGCATCACACAGTCCTAGACGCTGCCGGAGTCCCCACAGCAGAATGGGGTTGCTGAGCGCCGCATTGGCTTGGTCATGGACATCGCCCGCACGTCCATGATCCATGCCCGTGCGCCCCATTTTCTGTGGGCCTACGCGGTTCGCTACGCCGCACACCAGCTGAACCTCCAGCCGCGTGTCTCGCGGCCCGAGGCTTCACCGACCAGTCTTTGGACTGGTTCCCCTGGTGTTGGGTCGGCCTTTCGAGTCTGGGGCTGCCTTGCACAAGTCCGCGACACCTTTGCGGACAAGCTCTCGGCACGCGCCATCGACTGTGTCTTCCTTGGTTTCCCGGTCGACTCTGCTGACTGGTCCTTTTACCACCCGCCCCTCCACCAGTTCCTCGACTCCCGTGACGTCCGGTTCGACGAGTCCGTGTCCTACTACACCCGGTACCCCTGTCGAGGTCTCCCGGTCCCCCCTCCCCCCCTTTTCCTCGCCCCCTCTCCTCCTCCTGTCCCCGCCCCTCCGGTACCACCACCCCCCCCTGGTCCTGCCCCGTCTGGTGTGTCTCACGCTACCCCTCTGCCGTCAGTCGCACGTCAGGTCGCGTCTCCCTCCCCACAGTCCTCCTCCCAGTCCCCTCAGCAACCCTCGGCACGTCCGCGACAGGTGGTTGCGGACTCTGGGGGTTTTGGCGCTGGAGGGGCTGCCACTGGAGGTGCTCGGTCTGGGGGTGCTCGGTCGTAGGGTGCTGGAGCTGGAGGTACTGGCGCTGGGGGTGCTGCTTCTGGGGGTGCAGGAGTCGGAGGTGCTGGTGCTCGAAGCATTGACACTGGAGGTGCTGGTTCTGGGGGTGCTGGTTCTGAGGAGACTGGAGCTGGAGACCCTAGTTCTGCGGAGTCCACTCCGCCTCCCCACCGCCACGACACGCGTCTCCAGGCTGCCCGTCGGCGTGAGCGTGAGGAGCAGGAGCGGTTGGAGAGGGAGCGGCAGGAGCTGCGGGTGCTGGACCTTCTGGAGCAGCAGTGGCAGCCGCAGCAGCAGCAACCGCAGCCGCCACCGCAGCTTCCTATGGAGCGGCAGTTGTTCCCACCTGTGAGTGGCCTGCAGGCCCTTGGCCTTTCCTCCTCTCCTCCTGTCCGCTCCCAGTCTCCTCCTGTGTTTGGTCCTACGTTGCCTCCTGACGACCGTCCGGCGGTCTGATCTTCTCCTCCTCATCAGTCTCCTCTCCCTGCTGTCCGTCACAACTTGATCACTCGTTGTCCTCCGCGTGCTCGTCACTCGTCCTCTGTTACTGACCTACACACTGCCCTCCTTTGTACGTCACTCGTCTCCTTCTCCTGTGTCCGTTCTCCCGTCTCCTCCTCCGTCCTCTCTCCCAGCCCTCCCCACTCCTATCTCTGACTACTACCGCACTGTTCGTCCTGTTGCCGCACGTGTCCTCGCCACTCTTGTCACCGACTCTCGTTTCCCTCCGTCGTCTGTCTCGGCTCTCACTGCCGCTGTTGCTGAGTTTGCTGCCGCCAGCCGCCTTGACTATGCCACCCGTGTGGTGCCAGCTCCTCCCTACCGTCCTCTGTCCGTCGGGGGTGAGTTTGCCCTCAGCTGTGACGTCCTAGAGGACAGAGAGTCTGAGCTGGAGTACTGGGCAGCCGCTTCTCCTTCTGTCTGTGCCATGCTGCTATCCCCTGAGGAAGACCCCAACGCCCTTGACATACCGACTCCTCGCACTTACCGCGAGGCAGTGTCAGGGGCGTGGGCCTCTCAGTGGAAAGCGGCTATGGACTCAGAGTTGGCATCTTGGAGATCCACAGGCACCTACGTCGACGCAGTTCCCCCTCCCAGGGCGAACGTAGTCGATGGCATGTGGCTCTTCAAGGTGAAGCGGCCGCCTGGAGCACCGCCTGTGTTCAAGGCGCGCTACGTGGCTAGGGGCTTCAGTCAGCGTGAGGGAGTTGACTTCTTCCAGACCTTCGCCCCGACCCCGAAGATGACTACTCTTCGTGTGTTACTTCACATAGCAGCGCAGCAAGACTAAGAGCTGCACTCCCTCGACTTCTCCACTGCGTTTCTCCAGGGCCGGCTGCACAAGGAGATCTGGCTGCGACGTCCTCCTGGCTTCACTGACACCTTCCCACCTGGGACCCAGTGGATCCTGAGGCGACCAGTCTACGGTCTCCGCCAGTCACCTCGTGAGTGGCACGACACTCTTCGCTCCACGCTTCGTGACCTTGGGTTTCGTCCTTCGTCTGCCGACCCGTCGCTGTTTGTTCGCGAGGGTTCTACTCCTTTCTTTATCCTTGTCTATATCGACGACTTGGTCTTTGCTACAGCAGACAGGGAAGCGCTGGCTCAGGTGAAGTCCGAACTGCAGAATAGACACAAGTGCACTGACTTGGGTGAACTGCAGCGCTACCTTGGCCTGCAGATCACCAGGGACAGAGCCGCTCGCACCATCACACTGACTCAGTCACACATGGTGCAGCAGGTCCTTCGGCGGTTCGACTTCCAGTTCTCCACCACACAGCTCACTCCTCTTGTTGTTGACCACCGACTCACTGGCCCCTTTCCTGACGAGCCCTTTGAGTCCAGTGGTCCCTACGCAGAGCTTGTGGGCTGCCTCATGTACCTGATGACTTGTATTCGGCCGGACCTCGCCTTTCCCCTCAGCATCCTCTCTCGCTTTGTTGCGACTGGGAGACACCGTCCTGTCCACTGGACAGCTGCTGTGAGGGTGGTGAAGTACCTGGCGACTACATCAGGCATGGGGCTTGTGCTTGGAGGGACTCAGCCAGTGGCGTTGACTGGTCACTGCGACTCTTTCTACGCTGACGACGTGGAGACCCAGCGCTCGACTCAGGGGTACTGCTTCAGTCTGGGAGCTGGTGCTGTGTCGTGGAGGTCTACACGGTTGTCGTCTGTGGCTACTTCCAGTGCAGAGGCAGAGATCTACGCTGGTGCCATGGCGGCACAGGAGCTTCGCTGGTTGACCTTCTTGCTCGCCGACCTTGGTGAGCGGCCTCGCTCTGCACCGACCTTGTACGCTGACAACAAGGCCATGATCCTCCTGTGTCGAGAGCCTCGACTGGAGAGCAGAGTGAAGCATATTGACGTGAGGTACTTCCTCCTGCAAGAGCTGCAGCGACGCGGCCAGGCACGCCTGGACTTTGTGGCCTCAGAGGCCAACACTGCAGACGTCTTCACCAAGGCCTTGGCGCTTGGTGACCACCACAGGTTCTGTGTGCAGTTGGGGCTTGTTGAGGTAGGCCCTCGGTTGCTGTAGTCTTGTTGCTTGCTCTGCTTGTTGTGTTTTCCTATTTATATCCTAGTGAACTCTTGAACTGGCCTTGTGGCCGCTTGCTTGTGCTCGGAATTTGTGTGGTGTCCTTGAGATCCACCCTGAGCTTGCCTTGCTTCTTGCCTTGACTGGTCTTGTGACCGTTTGTTTCACCTTGCTTGCTCTGATGTCCCTCACTTAGCCTATGGGGGTGTGTCAAATGTTAATGTTATGATAGGCTGCAGTGAGGTACTCCCTAGAGAGTATAGCTTTTGTAGGATTCCTATTTGTACCCTTGCAAATCCTTATTCCACTTATTCCGTTGTGTTCAGTTTCTGAGACAAAAATGCTACAAGAACCATACTCCACCTTCCCCACTTGTCATTCCAGTAGCATCACGCGTGTCCTACTGTCACTGCCCTTTTCAAACATTAAAATGTTCCAGCTGCCTCATGCGCCACTCCCCCACAACCATCCCCACCACTAGTAGCAGCAGCAGCACCACCACCACAAACCCCTCCCCCCCCACTTCACAGTCAGCAAATCCGGGCCCTCTTCCCCCCCACCTCCACTCTTCTGTCAAAACTTATATGTTAAGTTATATCTGTAGGCTATATAGGTTCTTGTCAAGAATAGAAGTGTTGGTTCATTGATGTGGGTTGGGGTACATATAACAAACCCTAACATCTGTACCCCCTAAGACAAACCTCACTAAAGGCTACAACATTTGACACACCCCCATAGCCTAAGTGAGGGGTGTCAAGCAAAACCAAAAGTGTACGGTCATAAGACCAGTCACAAAGAAACAAAGCTCAGGGTGGATCACAACGTCACCATACACTCTGAGCACAAGCAACAGGGGCCACAAGGCTAGTCCGAGAGTTCACAAGTGTGTATAGCAAGAGTACAAGCAAAGCAAACAGTAAACTCAAGCCTATACACGACTAGAACCTGTGTCAACAAGGCCTAACTGCACACAACACCTCTGGTGGTCACAAGGCGGAAGCGCCTTGGTGAAGATGTCTGCAGTGTTGGCCTCGGACTCCACAAACTCAAAGCGAGCCTGTCCACGTCTCTGCAACTCTCGCAGAAGAAAGTACCTGACGTTAATGTGCTTCACTCTGCTCTCCAGTCGCGGCTCTCGACAAAGGAGAATCAACGCCTTGTTGTCAGTGAACAAGGTCGGTGCAGAGCTCGGCCGCTCACCAAGGTCAGCGAGCAAGAAGGTCAACCAACGCAGCTCCTGTGCCGCCATGGCACCAGCGTAGATCTCAGCCTCAGCTGTAGAGGTCGAGACCGAAGAGGAGCGCGTGGACCGCCACAAAACAGCTCCAGAACCCAAACTGAAACAGTACCCCTGAGTAGACCTATGAGTCTCAGCGTCGTCAGCGTAAGAAGAGTCACAGTGACCAGTAACCGGGTCGGGTACCGGGTCGGGAACCGGATCGACCGGACCATCCGGATGGGGAACCGGATCATCCGGGTCATCCGCATGGGGTGCCGAACCGACCGTGTGGGGAGTCGGAGCAACCGGGCCAACCGGGCGGGGTACCGGGTCGGGAACCGGATCAACCGGACCATCCGGACGGGGAACCGGATCATCCGGGTCATCCGGGAAGGGAACCGGATCGACCGGGTCTAGGGTAGGAAGCCGGGGTGCTGCCCTCCAAGAACTAGCCCCACGCCTGATGTCATCGCTAGGTACTTCGCCACCCTCACAGCTGCCGTCCAGTGAACAGGACGGTGTCTCCCTGGCGCAACAAAGCGAGCAAGGATGCTGAGAGGGAAGGCGAGGTCTGGGCGAGTGCAAGTCATCAGGTACATGAGGCAACCCACCAG